GGAAAGAAGCCGAACGCAGGCGACGTTAGCCACTTACTGTGCATGTTACTTTCGACAAAATCTAGTATTTTTCCGATTACGTTTAGACAATAATAGGTATTACAAAATAGTAAGCTTTTTAAAAGAAAGATGCCACGAACATCGTTCGTCGTATAAGTTCAAATGTAATCGAAGTTGACTCAATGCTGGTTTTCCATTCCATCCTTTCCTTTTGCGAAAGTTAAAATTTAAAGAGATAATGTACTTTAATTTATGCTTAGACTTAAGTTTCGTATAGTTTTATACCATTATGGAAATGTGCATCATTTGAGAGGTTCTAGTGAAGTTTTTAAGAAGATAAGATGTACGTTATAAAAAACTGACCAGTATCTGTAACTTTATTTGCAAAAGCAAGTAGATAGTGCTTGGGTATTGCATTTCGTTGTTTTTCTGGACATTGCGGTTGTTCGTACGTTACTGTAATCCGTCATGGAATGGTTCTGTGTGATAAGGTGGCAGGTTTCTCTTGGTTGAGTACCAATTGGTGTCGTCTATAGTTGTGTGTATAATTTCAAAATATTACCATAATATTTTTTTGCAATCCAAGCAACCTAGCGTCTTGTTCTGGAAGGCATGAAAGATTTATCTGAGAGATATAACAGAGCTAAATCCTATTTTTTATTTTTAAATTTTCTACTTTTTTATTTTTCACCTCTAGTCGGTCGAGTATTAATTTCTTAATCTAAAGCCGGTGGGTTTAAGCCGCACAGAAAGCAAGAATTTTCCTTAATTTTGGTGACAGTCATCCTCGAACAGACGCAGCTGTGTTTGAACAGTTCAAGTACTTCATGACCAGAAGCCACACCTCGTTATGATGTCGACCAGGCGCCGCGGTCTACGAACAGAAATACCATATATGCATATAAGAGTGAAAGCTGTAAATCCTTTGGGCATGTTCTGCTTTACATATTCAGTATTGTAAAGAAGAGCATTAAACGATTTACACAATGCAAATAGTTATTTATCGGCCCTGAACGATTACTAATGTTTTCCATACCGCATTTTTTATCATTCAGGCGTGATCGACCGTATGGCTGTTTCTGCAACGACCGGTGGCGGGGCATATTTCATTAGGTGCTCTTGTAAACTTGAAGAGGCAGGATAGTCGAGGTTTGGTAAGGCAGACTGGTCATTTACTTACAACTGATCGAAAACACCGCTCTTCAACTATCATGCATTTTGGTGTTTGACCAGTTGAGGCATCATACGTTTTCTCCAGAATAATCATAGCATCATCGGCTTGTTGGGATCCTTTAGGTGTCATCTGCAATATCGATGGCGGATTTTCCGCCGTAAGCTGATTGAGAATGCTTGTTCCATTTTTTCAGTCATAACTAGTGTATAGAATCATGTCAGTCATATGCCCGGGTAACTGTTTATTTTAGCATATGCGCTTTCTTTTGTATGTTACTCCGATAATATGTCGGCGAGTGAAGCGCATTGAAGAATAAAAGGCTGTACATCGTCCTAGTTTACGATCGCTTGCCTTGAACTATGAATCATGCAAGGAATAACTGTAGTGTTTGTCTAAACAGACAGTGAATCAGTATTTTCATAGTCCTTATTTAAGGAACCATTTAACAAATTGTATATAGTGAATTTTGAACGGCGGAGACAAAAATGATATGCTTTATTCTGACGAATTACCTGTAGACAATTTTATTAGAATCAGTCGACTGCCTTCGATGAATGTTCTCGTTCACGTCTAAATATTTTGCTCGTTTTGTCTTCTGATAGGTCCACTGCCATTTCTTTCCACTTAGGTACCATCCCATTTATGTTGCTGCACCTTACCGGCAGCGATAGAATTTCATGATCTTGGAAGAAGGCAACGACGGTTTATGTTAATTGATAATTGGTGGAACCGTTTCAGTGAAAAAGTTAACCATACTATAGGTTTTCACTGCAGTTCAGAGAAGCGTCTTATGTGTACCACAAATGGCCAGATGAAGTTAATGACAGACAGAGTATTTTGAGCAGTACTTTAGTAAAACTGTTTACTATACGGTAATTAAAATTATCCACAAAATAAGCAGAATGCCAAAAAAATACTTCGACCAGCTCGACGTATGACATCAACACCCATTGACTGATCGATCTTGTTGCTTGACGGAAGTCAACAGTGATGCCAACGGTCATCTATCTCTTGTAATTTGTCGCCACAAGCTTCCATATCTCTGTCTTACTTAATCGTTCCTTCTCAGTCGAAATCTACCTGTTGGGCGTTCGCCGTCTCCTGGGTACTAATCCGTCACTGTCATGCGATTTAGTACACCGTAGTCCTACTCTAGCTGCACGCAGGGACAGTGCTTGTTTGTACTTTCTGTTTCATTCGATCTTGGCAGTTAGTTTTAGCTAGTTTTTATGTTTGCTAGTCATCTCTGACATAAAGTCCGTTTGCCTTTGCCGACTCGGGTTCCAGGTGATGGCTTTGTAAGGCTTGCCCGCTAGGAGTTTTCTTCGGTGAGCTCGGAACAACCACCTTTTCTCATTTTTGACGGATTCTCCTCCTCACCACGAAACGGAGCTCATCTCGCTGGATGGGTAATACGATTTATGAATTTGATATACAGCAGTGCAATAACGCTGGGTATTTATTCGGTTTGTTGTGACTTATCTTTTTTACTTAAGCTGCTTTCCTCACTCAGACGGTCTGTTTGGACGACACGACGGTAAAATTTGAAATTTGGGACACTGCTGGACAAGAGCGATATCACAGTTTGGCTCCGATGTATTACCGCGGGGCGCAAGCGGCGATTGTCGTTTATGATATAACCAATCAGGTAACGTTACGGTTATATAAATCACTTATTTTATGACGATATACATATGAATGATGTTCAGGAGTCTTTTACAAAGGCCAAAAACTGGGTGCGTGAACTGCAACGTCAAGCAAACCCCAATATTGTGATCGCTTTAGCAGGCAACAAAGCAGATCTGGCAAACAAACGGATGGTTGAGTACGAGGTTAGTTGCCTGTTCTTTGTGTGATTACGAATACAAAAGTTCTTAGTTCTTGTATTGCTGTCAGAAACAGGCTTTTTACTTAACTATCTGACTTTTTAGTTTTAATCTTTTCAAAACAAGGTTTTTAAAAATTTTCGTTATACTTCTGCGAGACCGCGCGGTTTTTCCTGTCAAACGCAAAAAAAAACAAAAGACTATTGGCTGGGTTTTAGATTTCCGCTATTTTCCTGTTTCGTTGAATGTCACAATAGCAAATAATTCCTGATTGCAATAACTCACATTTGGCGTTGCGTATGGAGCATATATAGTATACCGGCTCCTGAAATTTCATTGACATTGCTGTGGCCCACAAAACTACGAAAAACACTGAAGGTAATCAAATCCCTTACAGTTTGGGATATTAAGTATCCCCCTTCATGAGTCAGATGTGCAATGGCGTCGCTTGAGCCAGTTCAGTTATATGCTTATTTTGTTAAATATTCTTCTGATCCTGTTTTACTTTACTTTATCCCTAGTCTTCATTCGGCTAAGGTAAGCCCAAATTAAAAGTAATTAATAAGCATAAAGTAATTCACCAGATTCAGGTCACGATATGGCCGCTTCATGAAATATACATGGACAGCATGCCAATAGGTCACAACTATTGTATGCATTCATCAACTTCAGAAGTGCTAAATTCCATTAAGCTGAGCGCACCGCTGTCTGCGTCGGCCTGATCGAAGTGCTGAATACTTACACCGAAACCGACATAATCACGAACAGTTTTCTGAAGAGATACCATTTCTCTTACAGTTGCAGAAGGAGTCATGCGCATTGTTCTGGAGATGAACCTCTCCAAAATGAATGGAGGCTTAACGAGCATTGCTTCGTGGATCCCATCTTCACTGACGGCGAAGAAGCGGAAAAGTCCCTAGACTTCAGTTGCAATATCAACGACGAGATTAACTGAAACAGATTGGCTTCATGGTCAAGTTTCAGTCACATCAAGACATTGCTGCTGGATGACGAACTACCCATGTTCACGAAGAAAGAACTGTTCGACTCTTCTGTCCTGCTCAGATGATTTATTGCGCAGATTGCTGGTCTAAAACTGAGGAAAAGAAACTAGTAATGACGCAAATGACGGCAGAAAGAAGAATATGCAAAGTATCCCTATGAGACCATATTTCAAATGGAATAGTTCGGTGTCGGATGCGTTTTCTGGATGCACCCACTGCTGCCTACAACTCGAAGATACGTTGGCCTGGCCATGTAGCCCTTCACAGTCGGAAGGGCAGTATATGAAGATTCTGATTTATCAGCTGGATTCGTTTCTGCAGCAGATGTCCGTAAAGACAATGGGACGAACCAGTGATGAAGCTGTTTGGTTAGCGGTTTAAACATCGAGAAGAGTGGCGGAACGTCGTTTGCATCTGTTACGCGGCCGTTAACCAAAACAGGTCAGATGGAAGAGTAGAACAATGCACATCGCACACTCTTTGGCTAGTTCAGTGCTTCAGTCGCCATCGATAAATCTAAGCCGACAGGTACTTATGTCAAACAGAAAATTTTGATTACTCCACCAGCAGTATTTCCTTGATTGAATGTCTGTTAAAAAATATATCACCTACCATTACGTTGTTAACTACCTCCTTTGTCTTAGATGCCTAGCTGTTATAAAATATTTCTAGTTCATTTCCACATTGGTATTTATCGCTTACAAAAGGGGACATCCCCCTATTCTTTCTTATATATTTAACAGAATAAAAATTTAGTACTTTAATACCGTTCAGACTTAAACTGTTTAAATGAAATATCACGGTTAAACCCGGTTTTGCGAAGTTCTTGATATATTTATTAGCATATTTTCAGTTTGACAGCATGATAGTTGTTTATCATCATCAGGGCGACAGTAACTGAACTGTGTAGAAAATCTACAGACACTATCCCTTAAAACCGATTACTAATAAGAAGATCGAGATCAGGTGGTTTGCTCCACAGAAGAAAAATAATTTTGGTCCGCAAGTAATTGTCGGATTATTTCTCACACCCTCGATCATTTAATAGTCTACCACTGAAGAATGAAAAATAGGTGATTCAAAAATGATTCACAACCATTACGTTTGACAGAGTTCTACTAATCTGCTAATTATAATCTATTAATTTATTGGGCTACTTTGTGCTAGTATGCTTTTAATGTGAGTACCGCTTAAATTCACTATCATATGTTTACTTCCAGTTCTATTACTATACCTTGTTACTGCAAAAGCACGTTTCAGTTTAGCGAGAGCTTTATTAATATGATGTTGATCT